GGCTGGGGGTGAGTCAGGCGGCCCGGCCCGAGGCCCGCGAGTCCTCTCCGGGGCGTCGAAACTTATCTTCGCTTGTAAAAACTCGTTTTGGGTGAAAACGAAGAGGGCGTTTGGCATCTTGCTCGGTTTGCTTCCTGGTGGTCGGCCAGGTACGTGCTGCACACCCACCTCTCCCAGTTCGGATTTACTTTCTAACTTGTGACTGTCGATAAGGAAGGAAAGCACTTGAAATGTGGCACCACTACACCGCGTTTGCTGGTCTGCTGTCTTTGTGTTGAATCCCGACTGGCTGGTAACTTGCAAAAGCTGATTTGTAAAGGATAGGTTGTCTGTGTTGGTATTTAGCAAACTGAATGGTAAGAGGGGTTTTTAGTACCAGATGTTCCACAAACAACTGAACCATCAGAGCATCTTGGGAGCACAAATACCTCTGGTAACTGAGCTTCAGCATCACTTGATGATGCATATGGGCTCCAGTAGTTGCCCCCAGTTCACAATTGCTTGGTAGGATAACAAATACTAATTCTAGTAGTAGAGTTTGTGCCCCTATCACAACTTGCTTAATTCCTTGTGTTCCAGGGAAGAGAAGAGACAGATCTTAACAGAATAGTAGGGTTTCTCCCCTGACTGCAAATGCCAAACTGTAGTAGCACTGGGCTGTTGTGCAGGGGAAAGAAAGGCTCTGTTACCAGGTGCCTTCTCATAGATTAGCAGAGGTCAGATTCCTTCTTGGATAACAGGTAAAGACTTAGGGCTTTTTAGGTTGAAGGAAAAATAAAACCAAACAGAAATCAGTAGGCTGTAACTTCCACGAGTCAAGCATGGTTTTGTATGTTCCTCCAAACAAATGCTGCTGTTGTGGTATTCCTATCACATTGACCCTCCTAGCAAACCAGGCTGTTTTCGTTCTCTTGTTTCTCAGTAGCCCTCAGGGAAGGCTCGGGAAGCTTTGTCCCACCTGAACCTATGTATGCTTTCAATCTCTGCATCATCCTGTAGCAGCAAATTTTGCTCTACCTCATATGAAGTGTTTATATCACCAGGAGTCTCTCTATTCTAGAATAGAATTTTCCCCATTAGGTTTCTCTGAGCTGTTAATGACTTTACATGTTTTCATAATGTTATTCTTCCTCTTTCCACCCGTCATCTCCCTTTCTTGCATCTGTGCTCAATGGAACCATCTTTCTTCCTCTTTCTGCACCTGCTGTCTGTGCCTACGCTCCCCTCTCTTACCTCTCCAGGGTAACCAGAAATGTAGTAGCGCCTGAGAGATGCAACCGCAAACCGCCGTTGAAGAGTGAGTGAACAGTTACTATTCCAGCTGCTGATTTGGAGTCCAATCCATAAGGACTTCAAAATTCAAAATGTCTTGCCTAATTCTTTACAGTTGCTATGCTGTTATAATATTTACTCACTGTGCATCGCTTTGCATTTACCAATATTGAATGTTTTCTGCCAGAAATCGTTCAAGATGGTGAGTTCTTCTGCAAGTCTGCACAGTTTTCTCAATAAATAACTTATTAATACATCAAGGAAAAGAAATCTTGGCCTAATCCCTTTTGTGACCTTACTGGTAAACTCCCCTCCTCACAAAAAAAAAATGATAACTTATTCTTGTTGGTTTGGGTTTTTAATCTGATTGCTAACATAGGAAAGAGTTTCCCCCTTTTTTATAGTACCAGTTAGCTTCTTTGGGAGCTTTCAGTAAGGGACTTTGCTCAAACCTTAATTTTGAAAAATCATGTAACAGTCAACCAGACCACCTGTAACCATGCAGGTGTCAGTTCTTTCAGATTTTTAGTTAAGCTTGTCTGCATTCTTCAGAAGTGGTGTTTCATCCTTCCCCATTCATCATGAAGATGATATACAAGATTAAGTGATAAGAAAATGGGACTCCCAATACTCTGTTCAGTGGATGCTACCACTCCAGTTCAGTGGACCCTACCCTGGCAGTTAGGGGATTTTCACAGAGCCAGATCTGGGAGCATAACAGATTCTCGTTTTGCTTCTAGGGGTGAGATATTAATGAGGTGCTGTTTGTTTCTTGTGTAGCCCTGGTAGCTTCTTACAGGTTGATATCACATGCAGCACTTGATTTCTTCAAAACTAATTTTACGTGATAATTTTTGAAGGACATAATAATAAGATGAGTAGTTTGAATTTCTTTAGACCTTTTCTGTAACAACTGTGCAACTTAAAAGTTTAATAAGTTCCCTTATTAACTTGTCTTCAATAAATTCTCTTACTGACAGTTGGGTTTGGGATAGAGTAGTCCCTGGGGAAGAATGATTCCAGGATGGAAACCTTGCTAATCTTTTCTATTGTGGATATGTAAATAGTAGCATGTTTTGCTTTTTCTACCGTGATTTTTTTTTCCCCCCCCTTGGTACTACTTCCTATTCCTTTTCCTATGATTTAGTGGTATTATTTACTATAAACTTAATATAATTTGACCCAGTTCTTCATCGTATGTATTTTATACTTAAGATGTCTGGGTTGTTCAGTGAAACATCATAATATTATACAAACTCTGACTTTAGAGACCAAAGGCTGTGATTCTTTCTTTCCCCCTTACATTCCAACAGGCTCCAGTGTTCTACAGGGTGTGAAAATCTGCAGTGTCAATGAGAATATCATCACAGAATAACTTTCCTTTTAATTGCTAACATACTGCATTAGTTTGGGGCTTAACAAGATGCATTCATTATGCACATATCATGAAGTGATCGCCTGTGAGAGGGATGGATGGAAAGATGGGACAGTCAATAAACACTTTATTGCTGAGTTTATTTACCTTTGAGGATATCATGGATCATCTGTCTAGCTTCCTGTTGCAGCATTTTCTGTAAAATATAAGAATAATCTTTCAGCCTTGCTAGGAAGGTAGTGTGTAGCCGAATCTAGACAGCAAAATACACATAACTTTCAAATAATTTTCAGAAGTTCTTTGCAACCAGCCACTAAAAGCTGTAGCTGGCCTGTAACAAAAACATTCAGTAAATTTGAATGCCTCCAAGAAGATCAGGCTTTGGGCTCTGTGCTAATGTCCGTTATAGTCCTGTATTTGTCCCTAGAACATTTGTTTGAGGAACAAGTATTGTCATCTATTTTGTGAAATCTGTATTGGCTTTTGGCTTTACTTTTAGGTGAATTCTTGTCTTTAACAAGCTATCCTGGTATTCAATTTAAAAAACATTTGATAGGACACTACGCATCATCTAGTTTTGTTGGTCTGTTACTTACAAAAAAAATTCTCTTCTCTTCATAGCTCTGTTCTTAAGACATTTTAGCCATGACTAAGAGAGAGGCAGAGGAGCTGATAGAAATAGAAATTGATGGAACTGAGAAACAGGAATGCACTGAAGAGAGGTATGTACTGACTTTGCTTTTGGGGGTCCTTGGGCTGCTATTCATTTATTTATTTGTTTTCCTTAATTGGTTTCAGATTTGTGGCTGCACACACACTTAAGTTTGGTTATTCAGATTTATTATTGGGTATTGTGTAATGCTTCAGAGATGGCAATGGTTATGAAATAAGTACAAGTGTTTTCTAGCTAGGCAAAAGAATTAACTTTAAACTGGCAGAAGTAACTGGCGCAGTATGATCTCCATAATCCTGCTGTTGATTGTTTCCACAGTTTTTCAACTTTCCTGCTGGATATTAAATTCTTAGGTTTGCTCATGCTCTCCTCAGTTTTTCTGTTTCTTATCTAACTAAATGTTGGTTTGCTTGAAGTGGAACTGTAGCCACTATAGGAAACCAGTGTAGTGCTATCATGTTCTTCAATCTTAATTGCTTAAATCCCAAACTGTTTTGTTTATCTCTTGCAATATTCTTAGTAGTTTTCTTCGCCTACTTTCATGTCCGTAGGAAAATGTCTATGTGTACGTGCTGCAAACCTTTCAGCTTCAGTGTATCCTACTGTAATTGAGATGAACCTTTCTGTTTCTCCAGTCCATTGCTTTACTGTTATGCAGGGTCATTTGTTTTTGACAGAGCATAAATGATATGCTGAATCTATTGATTATATTGTTAGGGCCATTGAAACTGTAGATACCCAAGTCTGATATCCTTTGACTTAATTACCTCAACCTGGTTTTTTCTTCCTAATGCTTCCCTCCTAATTTTTACAACTGTTTTTGAAAGCACAGAGAGACAGTTAATGTGTTGGATAGAAATAGCTGAGGCTGGTAGGTGACCTGCTCTTTAAGAACTTGTTTTGGAGATCTGATTCAAAACAACTTACTAATTTCTTCTTACTCTGAGCTCCTTGTATATTTTTACTACTGACAAGCTGACTATGTCTGTATACTTTCTGATTTCCTTCTGTGTAAATGTAGAGAGACCAACTGTCTAAGGTCATTATTAAGACACGAGTCCCATAACATTGATGTTTCTGAATTGCCTTCACCAATACTGTCATCATTGTAGTGCAGGACAACGATGACACGTGACTAATGTTTCCTTCAAGAGTCCATGTCTCTGTAGTTCCTTCATGTTGTCTCTTGTATGCGTTAAGCTTGTCCTTGTGCTGACTGGTGAAAAGACATGGACAATTACTCTGTATGAGAGTGGACTTTTTTCCCTTCTTTTTCCCTATCTGTTAAGTTTCTGGGTTTGTTTTTAACCTGACTATCTTTAAATACAGTCTAGGCAAGGCAAATAACATTAGTTTACTCTGTATGCAAGTTAATAACGTGTAACATACTAATCATGACTTAATCTCTTGAAAACAGTGATCTGAACATAATCTTGATACTTAACCTAGCTTTTTAATGGTGACAGGGTAAAAGGAAGGTTACACAACTGTAAAATCAATGGGACCACATTTAGTTGTTCATTCTCTACTCAAGCTAAGAGTTTTTCTTCATGGTATTAAGATTTCAGTTTTACCTTCTATGTAGTTTACTTTAACTTCATTTTAAGCTTTCCTATGCCTACTGTATTAATGTGTAGGTAATGATTTGTTGTATTAATTTGGTATTTAAGCATCGTAGAGCAAACCTACACCACAGCAGAATTTGTGAGTCAAGCTATTGACATCAATGAACCAATTGGAAATCTTAAGAAGTTGCTGGAACCCAGACTGCAGTGTTCCTTGGATGCACATGAAATTTGCCTGCAAGATATCCAGGTAAATTGAAAGGCTATGAAAGATTTAACCTCTTAATGGAGAAGCATTTTACACACTTTGTCCCTTTCTTCCATTGGTTGCGGAATTCATACTTCATTTGGTGTATTAATTACAATTAAGAGTTTAATTTTATGTCAGGTTCATTATCATCAGACCATTTAATATGGACACACTAATTCAGCGTGAATAAATCAAACTACTTTCAGGGTTCCTGGGATGAGGGCAGGAAAGCAAAAAATTACTACTTTGCAAGTGAAAGAAAAATGAGGGCAACAGCAATACTACTGTCTCCTGAGGTAGCCCTCATCATTTTTTGCTGCCTGAACTTCTGTGAGTCTAATCTTGTTCTGAATCTGAATAAAGCAAGGTTTTTTTACTATTCAGGTGCATAGAGAGAAAAATATTACTGAAGGAATTATACGCACACTATTTTTACAGGCATCACCACTTGTTAGACAGTACAACTGTTTCACGTTGTGTGTAGCTGCATGTTTTATTTTTAGTTATAATCAGACATTTGTGGCTTCTCCAGAAACAACAGGGAGAAAACTGCTTTAAAGACAAGAATTTTTATGAAGGTGTTAAAAACTGAGAAAAAGAACTGTAGATATCTTTCAAAAAGTGAAACTACCTTAAACAGAACAGAGTAGCGAGTTTCAAATTCCGATCAAATTCTTTCTGTCATGTACAATGTCTACAAAGTACTAAAAATATTTGTATGCTTCTTTGGAAATCTTGCTGCAGACACTTATGTGTTTCTAATGTTTAAAGGAGAATAAGTTTCTTGTAACTGTGAGACTAATACATATTTTTAAATTTTTTTGCTTTTGTCAAGCTGGACCCAGATCGAAGCCTTTTTGATCAAGGAGTAAAAACAGATGGAACAGTGCAACTCAGTGTGCAAGTAATATCTAGGCAAGGTAAGCAGTCATGTTCATGTGTTGTACAGACAAATTAATATTGTAGAAGTGCTTGTGAGCAAATCTAATCCCCTACTATTTCTAGCTGTAAAATGAAGAAAATCACTGAATGGTCACAATAGCTTCTAAATGTCTCTTTCATTGTGTGCTGTGGTTATAAGTAGTAGTAATTAGCATCAGTCCATGACATTTATTCTATTTGAAATGTTTTTTATAGTAACTTCGTATCAATGATATTTGAAAAGTCATGGCAGTCAGGTGAAGTCCCTGGTGACTGGAAAGAGGGAAACATTGTGCCCATTTTCAAAAAGGGTAGAAAGGAAGACCCTGGGAACTACCGACCTGTCAGCCTCACCTCTGTGCCTGGGAAGATCATGGAACAGATCTTCCTAGAAGCTATGCTAAGGCACATGGAGGCCAGGGAGGTGATTTGAGATAGCCAGCATGGCTTCACCAAGGGCAAGTCCTGCCTGATGAACCTAGTGACTTTCTATGATGGTGTGACAACAACAGTGGACAAAGGAAAACCGATGGACGTCATCTACCTGGACTTCTGCAAAGCCTTTGACACGGTCCCCCACAACATCCTTCTCTCTAAATTGGAGAGCTATGGATTTGATGGGTAGACTGTTCGGTGGATAAGGAACTGGCTGGATGGTTGCATCCAGAGGGTAGTGCTCGATGTCCGGATGGAGACCGGTGACGAGTGGTGTCCCTCAGGGGTCCGTACTGGGACCGGTGCTGTTTAACGTTTTCATCAATGCCTTAGACAGCGAGATCGAGTGCACCCTCAGCAAGTTTG